CCCACTGCCACCTGCCTCAGCTCACCAGGGCCGGACAGTTTTGTCACTCACAAACTGCCCGTGAGGAGCGTCGGCATCTGAAGGCAAAAGGGCCAAATAAACGGGGGTCTCAGCCCCCTCATCGGGGGATTTGGTGGCTTTGGGACCTGCCATGTCTGTCCTCACCCAGCCAGGGCAGCAGGCATTGAGCAGGATGTGGTCCCCTTTCCTTTTCTCGTTCAGCAGCCGGGCTTGGATCCTGGACAAGACGGTGACCCCGATTTTGGACACCCCGTAGGCGGTGTTTGGCCAACCCTCTTTGCCGTGCACCCCTTTCTTGGCGTCCTCCACGAACTTGTTCATGAGCTGCACCAACTCCTCCTCGGTGATGGTGTCACTGCGGAATTTCTGCTGCAGCTCCTGGCTGCAGCCCCCCAGGGCCGAGCTGCTCACCATGCTGGACACGTTCACCACCCGCCCTGGCACAGGGAAGAGGAGCTGGTTATTTTGGACACCTTTTAAGGCCAGCACTGAGGTGGGGGCTGCTGTGCAGCTCTGTGTTCACTGCTCGGGTGAACTCATGTCAATTATTTCATGTGGGCTGTTTGGCAGAGCTCTGGGAAGGTCAGAGATAACTCCATGTCACACACTGCCAGAAAATCCCATTCAGTGTTCATCTCCCAGCACTTCAGCACAGAGCACTGAGTCAGTTCATCAGTAAATCATTTCCAAAATTATTTTGCAATGTTTTCCCCCCTTTCTTGCTACTTCACAGCCATTCAGGTGATGAACATGGGGATTAAACCTTAAAAGGCACAGAAATTAATCCTTTCTGTTAATGATTTTATTAACACACCCATCCTTCACCCTTAGTACAAGAGGACTAAGTTGTCATTTTGGCACTGCTTACTCTCTCCCCAGCTGGCCCCCCAAAATTCATTTATTCTGTCTTCTCTTTCTCCACCAAAACCTAAAAATTCCCAATTTCTCTTTCATCATTCTTTTCTCTTAAAACCCTGGATGCTTTTAAATGTTGGTATCATCTATATTTCATTTACAGCAGCAAACACATCACAGCACCACGTCAAACCCAGCTGAAAGGCTGCTTTTAGGTACTTCCTTATCCCAGTTCTGCCATCAAAACGTCCTTTCTGAAGCAAGAACAGTTTGTGGAGGCAGAGATCATGGACAGAGCACTTTGCTATGGGGCAGTGTCTGAGACTGGAGAGGATTTCCCTGTTTAATGAGGGTCAAAATTCAAACAAAACCGTTCCTGTTGTGTTTCACTTACCATAGGGCTTCATAAGAGGCAACAACTCTGTGCAAACGTTCCTGGTTCCAAAAAAGTTTGTCTTCAGTGTGACCTCAGCCTGGACTGCAAACGGAGCCGTGTCATGAACTTTTTATAACAGGTGGGAAAGAGGAGAAAAACAAACAAACACAAACCAAAAATCAGAGTTGTAGTGTTTGAACAGAAGTTACCAACCCCCAAAATTTATCTTAGTTATTTTTTTAAACTACCAAACCTCAATAGTTCAGCTTATTTTTTCTAATAATTAGAAAACGGGCATATGATGAATTAAAATCTATAAGAAAAACAACATAATTAACATTAATGAGAAAACCTGGCTCTGCAATTTTGTATTAATGAGCTAATTATGTTTTCACCTCTGAAAGGTGAAGGTTTTGGCTTCACCCCAGAGAGCCAGTTGTATTCCCTCTGCAGGGTCATTTGCCACCCCACAGGTTGTTTGTCTTTCTGTCTTTTTATGGAAAAGCCATGGAAAAACGGCTTTCCTGGGATGTGCTGCCCAACCTGCCCTGTGATCTGCCAGGACCTGCCCACACCCAAGTTCTCAGCTGGGGTCTGAAGTCCCCAACACCCTAAAAGCTTCTGTGGGATTTGGTGCAGCCTGAATAAACAAACTGGGTAGAAACAGCAATCTTGGGAGCGAGAATTTAAATAAAAATACAGGATAAGCATCACAGCAAGTTCTGACACAGATGTTACACCCTCCAGGCTCTGTGTGAGATACACAGCAACAGTCACAAGAGGCTGCTTTATCACCTTTCTTAATTGTAGGACATACTGCTGACTCAGAGCTGTTGTCAGCTTGAAGAAAGTCTGGGCTAAGCACCTGGAAGTGATATTTTAACTGCTGTTGCTGCAATGTTTTAGCACCTCCCTATCCTCAGCACATCCTGAAGCTCAGAATTCATAATAAGAGCTGCCTCCTGTTGAACTGATCAAACACAAGCAATTTTTCTATAAAGTAACATGCCAAACATACAGTGAGTGGGTTTTAGAAGACCATCACTGCACTCCCACTCCGTGAGAAGCTCCATCTTCAGGAGCAGGTGAGGTTTGATCTGCAGTTCCTGACAGGCCTCCTTAACCACTCTGAGCAGAGGAGTCAGCACAGGGGGTCTCACCTGAGGGGGCAGAGGGACAGAATCCCTTCCCTAGAACAAGCAGTCAGGCTTGTGATTTGCTCTATCTAACATGATCTTGCCTTGCTTTTATAAACACTTACAAGAAGAATGCACTTTTCCACCTTAAAACTGCTGTGTCTTCCTCGCTTTCCCTGCATTCCTAGTCCACTGGGGGATGAAATGGTTACATTCTTGCTCAGTGCAGGTCCCACCCAGGGCCAAAGGTTATTTTTTATCAGCTGGATGCCTTGAGGAGGTAACACACACAGCAAAATGTGAGGCTTGTGGAAAACACAGATCCCCAGGGAACACAGCTGATATTCACCCTCAGGACGGGCTCCCACGGCCCTGGTGACACTCCTGGGCACTGAGGCAATTATCCCAACTCCCCTCACAGGCACTGTGTGCCTCAAGTGCTTCAGTGCTCCCTGGGTGATGCAAACACAGCACTCCAGGGAGGCAGTTTACAGGATCACTGAGGTTGGAAAAGACTTCCAAGATCATCCAGTCCACCCCGTGCCTCATCCCCACCTTGTCCCCAGGCCCAGAGCACTGAGTGCCATGTCCAGGCCTTCCTTGGACACCTCCAGGGCTTGGGCACTCCAAACAGCCCCTGCCAAGGCCTGACCACCCTTTCCATGGAGAAATGCACATGCACAGTCAGCCCAAGAGATCCCAGAAGACCCATTTCACGTTGTCCTCAAGACAGGAAGCTTGGCATCCAAAAGTGCAGCATTCCACTGGCAGACAAGCGTCAGATGCATCCACAATCCTCTCCACACAGCTCAGCAGCACCCAGGACTATCCCACCCAGACTCTCTCCTACCTTTGAAAGCGATGCCTGCGTTGTTCACCAGCACGTTCAGCCCCCCGTACTTCTCCTTGAGGAAATCCCGGAGGGCTCTGATGCTCTGCGGGTCATCGATGTCCAGCTGGTGGAAGAGGGCCCGGAGCCCCTCCTGCTGGAGCTTGGCCACCGCCTCCTGCCCCCGGCCAGGATCCCGGGCTGTCAGGTACACATCCCCCTGGAACTGCTTGCACAGGGCCCGCACGATGGCAAAGCCGATCCCTTTGTTGCCTCCTGTCACCACAGCCACGGGCACGCTGGACATTGTCCCTCCTGGGTGTGCGCCCGAGCCAACAGCAAAGAAACCTTCACTCAGGCGGACAAAGGTGGCTGTTGAAAAGGAATTAAAGTCAGGGAATGGTTTGGGACCTTAAAGATCATCCAATCCAACCCCCTGCCACAGGCAGGGACGTGTTCCACAATCCCAGGTTGCTCCACGCCCCGTCCGACCTGGCCTTGAACAACACCAGGGGTGCAGAGTCCACAACTCTTCTGGCCAATTAAGTGGCTTTTTTTTTCTTTAAAATACTAATTCAAATTTCACCTCGAATTACATGAAGCCACATTATTGACTGTAACTTCCTAAAGTAGCACGAGGTGTTCACAGAGAAATACACACCTGGTGCTAAATGTTTTGAAGAAAACCCAGCCAGTAACTTGGTAATAAGAGGAAAAGTCTTTACCAAAGAAAGTCAACGACTAATTTTCAGTAGCGAATTAACTTTTGGTGGGAGTAAGCTCTTCTGCACTTACACCTCACAGAAAACCCACTTCCTTCTTTTGAGGGTATTTCAACTCATTCAGCTGAAAAACTCAGGCTCAAAACCTGAGCAACCTGGTCTAGTAGAAGGTGTCCTTGCCCATGGCAGGAACTTGATGAGCTTTAAGGTTCATTCCAACCCAAACCATGGAAAAAAAAGGAAGTTGCAGCTTCATCTCCAAGTGCCAGGTGGGAGAAGCAATTATAGGATTTTCAGGGGGAGAGAGCAAAGCACAGGCTGGCAGCGTTTATAGTGTCTAACACACCGTCAGCTCCAGATACACAGCCTGCTTGCTGTTTTTTTAAACAGATATAGCACATTTAAAGAAGATGCATTTCCCACGTAAAAACAAGTTTAAAACGCTGCGTTTCCCCCACCCCCCGTTTTTACGTAATTTCCACCTCTCTTCCCAACTCGCCTGTAACTAGGATGACACCCCAACCAGCTCCCGCCTTCCCAGAGCCAGGAGCCCCCTTCCCACCTCATTCCCCCCTCCTCAGGAGCGGGTTCCTAACGGGGAGGGAACGCTCGGGCCGCCATGAGCCCCGAACCCCTCAGGGCACCGCGGTCTGAGGGACCCCGGGTTGGAGTGGAACTTCCAGCACCTCCTCACCCACCTCCAGCACCGCGAATGCCTTCCCCTCGTCCCTCAGCTCCACACAGCGAGGGAAGCACTCGCTGCTCCCCCAAAAAACACAGACGATCGCACCACACGGAAGGGAGATGCGAACGCCCCTAAGATGGCGGGGCAGCCCCGCCTCAGGGGCGGGACGGGCGGGCACGAAGCCGCCGTGAGGGGGAACCAGGGGATGTCGGTGCCTGTGTCCTGCCCCCCAGGTGGGTTTGGAGCACCGGGAAACGATTCCAGCCCGGGAGGACTCGGGAGAGGCAATTTAGGATCCCAGGGGAGGGTGGTGTTGGGTCTGCGTAGGGCACGGGGGGCGGTCCCGGAGGGGTCGCTTCACGTGGGAAGTTCCAGCCCTCGCAGCACCGCCTTGGAGGTTTCTTTCCTTGCCGTCCCTCCTGTCCTGGCGGGTTATGCCGAGCCGGGAATGGAGGTGTTGTTAGCACTTCCCAGTTCCGAGGGGTGGGGTGGTGTTGTCCTGGGCGGGCTGGAGGAGCTCGATCGCCTGCGGGTGATCCCTGTTCCCTTCTCGGCCTCCCTCCTCACTGGGAAAACCTGCGCTCCCGAGGGTCCGTTCGGGGCGCTTTAGGCAAAGCGAAGGATATCGGGAAAAGATTCTTCCCCCAGAGGGTGGTTGGCACTGCCCAGGCTCCCCAGGGCAGTGGGCACGGCCCCAAGGCTGCCAGAGCTCCAGGAGCGTTTGGGCAACGCTCTGAGGGGCAGGGGGAGTGTTGGGGTGTCCTGGGCAGGGACTGGGGTGGCACTGGATGAGCCTTGGGGGTCCCTCCCAGCTCAGGATATCCCAGGATTCTGGGAAAGGTGATCCAGTGCCACCCCCTGCCATGGGCAGGGACACCTTCCACCAGCCCAGGTTGCTCCATGTTTATCCAGCCTGGCCTTGGACACTTCCAGGGATCCAGGGGCAGCCACAGCTTCTCTGGGCAACCTGTGCCAGGGCCTGCCCACCCGCGCAGGGAACGATTTGAACAGTACTTTAAATATTCGTAAGTAACTTTTTTTTTTTTTTTTACTATTTTTAATTCAGGTTGTCTAAACAAAGCAAAATCTGTTGCTTAATATGAAGAAAAACAGAGGTCGGACAGGTCGGAAGAGAAGAAGAAGGCACTTGCAGAGTTTTGTGGGTGGAGGTACTACCCCCGAAAGTTAAATAATCAAATAATTTTTGGTTGCTTTTCAAGGTGTCATTCTGTGGTTTATATTTGCAAACACCTTTGTGGTTTTTTTTGCTTTCAGGCACATGGTTGGGTTGTTGGGAATGTCCTGGCCAGGAGATGAACTCAATGGTCCCGATGGGTCCCTTCCAACTCAGGATATTCTGTGATTTCCAAAAACCCTTGTGTTTTGAAAATGATATTAATAAACGTTACATTTTTTTAATATGCAAATATTGTAGCATTAGTTGACGGTCACAAGCACAGCATGGTGAATATTGTGAGCTCTCTTTTCTGGCTCGTGACAAGTACTACATTATTCTTAAAATTCCTTGAATATGCTGAATAACTCACACAATTCTGAGACCTCCCAGTGCCCAGAGGCCCAGAATTTACTAAGTTAGTTCTAAGGGAGCCTTTCTTGCTATTTTTTTATGCTCTGAAATGTTCGAGATACAGTTTGTCTGACTATACAGCGAAATTTTTTAATTTCCTTTATTTTCCCAACAGGAAATTAAAGCCTTTTATAGAATTAATCTTTTTTTTTTTTAATTTATTTTTAGTCAACTGCAGTCACAAGGTGGAATACATTAAACTCAAGAAGTGGCTAAAAGACAGAGGATTTGAAGACAGCATTTTAAGGCCAGCAGAGTTCAGGGGTAATGTCTTAATTTTTTTATTGATGGTACAAATTTCTGATTCTTCTGAGAATGGTAGATTCCTGATGTAAGTTTTTACACCTGGCTGGCATCAGGAAAAAAAACCACTCACTGTTAATCTCTTAAGGATTTTTGGCAAATGCACATGGGTGTCAATTGAACAGAAACAAAACTTGCACACACCTATGCTGAATCCCTGGTAAAAGCTGAAATTTTAAGTGTTAGTAGCACAGTTTTAAAGAAGTGTTTCTGTGTTTCCAGCATTGGAACCTAACCTTGTTATCATTTGTCCCTCTTATTTTTTGCCTCAGGCAAGTTCAGCAGATCCAGTGATACACATAAATAAATTATTTCAGAGCTGGGATTCACTTAATAATGTTTATAGTAAAGGTATATACTTGCATTTTTTCCTCTTTAAGTAGGTTATGTTTCCAAATTTTTTTTGCAATATTAAAGAGAGAGTGGAAAGAAGAGAATGAACCAGAGAAAAATATTGCTGATTCCACACATGCACATGTATTTACTCGTGCTCCTTTTGTTCCTGCTTCAGAGACAGGACGAGGACTGATGGCAACAAAAGCTCTTCAGGTCAGTGGTGTTGGTTCTGCTGCAGGAGCTCCTCGGGTTCTTTGGAGGTGAAATGATCTTTGCATGAAGCAAAAAGCTCAGGATTGACAGGCAGGGTCCTCACAAGCCCTGTTGTGAATGTGATTTCTGACCTCTCACCTTCACTTGGAAGCCTCTGTGTTGGTGGACTAATTGACAGGGACGTAATTTCTCAAGTATTTCCCACAGAAAAGGGGAATAATAGGAAAAAATTCCTTGCCCTGTGGATATTGGCACAGAAGCTGTGTGTGTTCTCATCCACTGAACCCAACTGGGCTGGAGCAAGGCAGGGAAAACCAGGAGATGAATAGGAAGAGCATTGACTCCATTCCATGTGTCCCCTCCCTGCAGCAGTGGGGGCACATGTGGCTCCAGCCAGGCATGAAAGCTGATTTCCACACAGCAGCTTGGCAAGCAAGGTCAGGGCAGCCACGACCTAGAATATCCCTGCCTCGTTCTGCTGTGCTGAGGGACATTCAGCTGTTTGAGAGACCTGATCTGAAATAAATCCAGTGCAAAGAGAGACAGCAGCCAGGCAGGGGCTTGCTGTGAACAGTGAGGGGTTTGTGCTGACTGCAATTGTCCTCCTTCCCTGGGCTGTGACTCTTCAAACCATTCCACTTCCCCCAGGAGGACTAAACGAGTCACTCACACTTGATTTTTACCGTTCTTTGTGTGTGATTTATTTTTCTCCTCTCCCCTCAAAGGCAGGGGATCTCATCATTTCTCTGCCTGAGAAGTGTTTGCTCACCACAAGCACCGTCCTTAGCAGCTGCCTGGGAGGATACATTAAGAAGTGAGTGAAAAGTGACGTCTGATGGACAAGCTGGCCTGGAGTGTGGGTGGATCATTAGGAGATGAATCATCTGAAGTGGTGGTAGAGCTTTCACCAAGGATTTCTTGTGACCTTTCCTGGGTGTGGAATGCTCAGACTGGAAAGGTTTGGGCTCAAGAGCATCCCCTTTTAGCTCAGCAGACTAAAGCACAGAGTGGAACTTGTCCTGCCTCAGAGGCAGCTTGGACCTGAATATCACTTAGGAATGATTTCCTGGGAATTTGTGAATAAGCTTCAGTAGGAGAAGGAAGATAAAAGGGGGTTGCAGAGCAGTCACAGGGATATGGCCTTTTAGAAAATTCAGAACAAAGCCCTGTGCTGGACACTGAGTCCTTGTATATCCTAAAAAACCACAACCCATGGGTTGAACCCAAAGTTGTTACTCCAAACCAGCTTTTATTGCCCCTTTGAAACCATCCAGAGGGCTTGGAGGGGGAACTACAAAGCAGCTTGAAATAGAAGCTATTTATGACACCTCAAAGAACCCTTCCAGAGATAAAACACCCAATTCCCACCTCACCTCTGAGTGTCTGCTGTGCTGGTCTTTTCATTTTGATTTCTCTTTTGTTTTCTGCTAGCTGGAAGCCTCCTGTATCTCCTTTGATGGCGCTGTGCACGTTTTTAATAGCAGAGAAACACGCTGGCCACAAATCCTCCTGGAAGCCCTACCTGGATGTTTTACCCAAGGCTTACACTTGCCCTGTTGGTTGGGAGCACCACGTGCTGAACCTCCTCCCAGAACCTTTAAGGAAGAAGGCTCAGGAGCAGAGAACAACCATCCATGAGCTTTATTTGTCTTCCAAGGGTTTTTTCTCCTCCCTGCAGCCTTTGTTTGCTGAGGACACGGGAAGTATTTTTACCCGCAGTGCTCTGGAGTGGGCTTGGTGCACTGTTAACACCAGGACAATATACATGAAACAGCCCCCGAGGGAGTGCTTTTCTCTGCAGCCAGATGTTTATGCACTGGCACCATATTTAGACCTGCTAAACCACAGTCCAAATGTTCAGGTAAAGAAACTAAAAGAGATCACTTGAGTTTTTTTTTCATTAGGAAATGCACTGCCTCGAGTGCAATGGGCATTTATGGGGTGGATTAGGAGCGTGGGGAGGTCAGGGAGGGATCTCACAGTGGGAGAAACATCAGTTTGGGAACGTGTGAAGGGGGAGGACTCGTGGGTCATAAATACACTGGGGTTTGTTATTCAGCCCAGGGCAGCTGAATAAAGATGATTGTGGTAAAGATCATCAGGAACTGGAGGGACAGGACGAGGGGAAATGGCTTCAAACTGCCAGAGGGCAGGGTTAGGTGGGATATTGGGAACGAATTCCTGGCTGGGAGGGTGGGCAGGCCCTGGCACAGGTTGGGCAGAGAAGCTGTGGCTGCCCCTGGATCCCTGGAAGTGTCCAAGGCCAGGCTGGATAAACTTGGAGCAGCCTGGGCTGGTGGAAGGTGTCCCTGCCCATGGCAGGGGTGGATTAGATGATCTTTAAGATCACTTCCAACCCAAACCATTCTGGGATTCCACAATTCAAATTCAGTTCACAGGCCTCTGAAACACTTTTCTTCCAGAGTTAGAGAAATGATCAGTACTGCTGGATCTCAATACTTGAGTTTTGGTTCCTTTTTTCACCCTGCCAAGAATAATAAACCCTTTTTTCTTTTTTAACTCCACGTAGGTAAAGGCTGCATTTAATGAGCAGACAAGGAGCTATGAAATTCGGGCAAATTCCCAGTGCAAGAAATATGGAGAAGTTTTTATCAACTATGGACCTCATGATAATCAGAGGCTGCTCCTGGAATATGGATTTGTTGCCAGGGATAACCCTCACAGCAGCGTTTATGTCTCATCAGGTTGGATTTACGGATTGTCATTGAAAGCACTTCTGAGAAGTGGAATGGGGGGGGATACCTGTGCACAGAATTTAAGGATTGGAGTTTTAAAATTGAAAATGCTCTTTGTTAACATTTTCTTTTACAAAGTTGTGATTCTTGGCAGAATCTATGTAGAAATTCCAAAGGTTGTCTAAGGTTTTACCACTGACTCCAGGATTGAAGATCTTATCCTCACAACCTGAAGTTGCTGAGGGTGGTTCATAACTTCAGTTTGAATCAGGATTTCCGTTACAGGGATACAATCCTGGAGATTGCTGATGGCTTTGGAGAAGTAGAAACGCTTTGGTTCTGTGAAATGTCACTAAACTGTAGCAGGTTGTTGTTGTTTATTCCTTTCAACCTTGAAAAATAGGCTTGCAGTGTTATTTCAGAACTGATGGCTGTGCTTTCTTCTGTGTAGCATTTCTTTAAATATCTAAAATGTGTTTTTGTGCAGATACTCTCCTCAAATATCTTCCACCACTGGACAAGCAGAGAAAGGCAAAACTGTCCATTCTAAAGGATCATGATTTCCTAGAGTAGGTGTCTGGGGGTTCTTTCTTTCCTGGGGAGCTTTCTTTTCAATATTTTCTTGGAGGCAAATTTTGCTTCTAATATTGAAATCCTCCAAAAAAAAAATTATAATTTGGGATTTTTTTTTTTTAACAAACTAATATGGATAGGATGTAGAAGTTGTAAACACCAGTATATCAAAGCTTGAGATCTCCCCTTGCCAGGAGGAAAACTGTCACACTGTAAAAGCTCCCTTACACTTTCTTATCACTTTGGACTTTTTAGGAACCTGACCTTTGGCTGGGATGGACCATCTTGGAGACTCCTCACAGCCCTCAAGTTGTTAAGCCTTGGAGCAGATGAATTTTAAGTTTAAGCACTCAGAGTATTTAGTCCTTGTGCCTGTGCCATTTTCTGCTGTTTCACAGAATCACCAAGGCTGGGAGAGACCTTCAGGATCACCCAGTGCCACCCCAGCACCACCACAGTCACCCGCAATCCACGTCCCCAAGGGCCACATCCAGACACCTCTGGGACACTCCCACACACAGGGACTCCACCACCTCCCTGGGACACTTCTTGCAAGGCCTGAGCACTCCTGCAGGGAGAAATTGTTTCTGATCTCTGCTCTGACCCTGCCCTGGGGCACTTTGAGGCCATTCCCTCTCACTCTTTCAACCCTCCTGTCAGGGAGTTGCAGAGAGCAATGAGGTCCCCCCTGAGCCTCCTCTGCTCCAGATGAACCCCCCCAGCTCCCTCAGCTGCTCCTCACAGGACATGTTCTCCACACCCTTCAATGTTTTCTGGACCCTTCACTCTTTGCTGGCTGGGTGGGAGCTCCTGGGACAGTTGGGTTGGATCTCCTGTGTTGTCTCTCATTGACTCCAGGTGAGAATTGAAGAGAAGAAAGGCAGAGAATGCCATAAAATATCAAACCATGACCTGTTCTGCTTTGGTCTTTTGCCTTCTTGTGTTAATAACCCCACCCAATTGTTTTCCCTTTCTATTTCAAGATATTCCTTTAGGGTTCAGGCTCCAGGCCTTTTTCCTGTTGGTTTGATGCAATTTTAAATGATTTCTTTGATTCGTGTGTTCCACGGGTTGCTGTTGAAATCCTGGGCCTAATAAATTACTGCAATCCATCTGCAGTGACTGTCAGGGCAGTTTGATCATTTATTCCAAAGGGCAAATCTGCCTCAGGCAGCAGGGATGGAAAATGCCTACCTGGGCATTGCTTACAATAAACAGTAAATAATTAAAACCAGTTGTGTTGTTCAGAGCTGTTTATGCTTTGAAGCTTCATTGCTGAGTGGAATAAGTTGATGGAAGAACTAAAAATAAATCCCTGTGGTTGCAGGCCCAGGTGAGGGGAAGTTTAGGAGAACCACATGTTTATTATCCCTGAGCTGGGAATGGCAGCAAATCACTCTGTTGTTCAAACATTTTGGTTCCAACATTGTGGTTCTGACATTTGGATTCAAAGATTTTGATTCAAACAAACATTTTTGATTCAGACATTTTTGATTCAGGCATTTTTGATTCAAATATTTTTGATTCAGACATTTTTGATTCAGGCATTTTTGATTCAGGCATTTTTGATTCAGACATTTTTGATTCAAACATTTTTGATTCAGACATTTTTGATTCAAACATTTTTGATTCAAAGATTTTTGATTCAAAGATTTTTGATTCAGACATTTTTGATTCAGACATTTTTGATTCAGACATTTTGATTCAGACATTTTTGATTAAGACATTTTTGATTCAAAGATTTTTGATCCAGACATTTTTGATTCAAAGATTTTTGATTCAAAGGTTTTGATTCAGACATTTTTGATTCAGGCATTTTTGATTCAGGCATTTTTGATTCAAACATTTTTGATTCAGACATTTTTGTTTCAAAGATTTTGATCCAGACATTTTGATTCAAAGATTTTGATTCAGACATTTTGGTTCAAAGATTTTTGGTTCAAAGATTTTTGATTCAAAGATTTTTGATTCAGACATTTTGATTCAAACCTTTTGGTTCAGACCTTTTGATTCAGAAATTTTTGATTCAGACATTTTTGATTCAAACATTTTGATTCAAACATTTTTGATTCAAAGATTTTGATTCAAACATTTTTGATTCAAAGATTTTGATTCAAAGATTTTGATTCAAAGATTTTGATTCAAACGTTTTTGATTCAGACGTTTTGATTCAGACGTTTTGATCCAGACATTTTTGATCCAGACATTTTTGATCCAGACATTTTGATCCAGACATTTTGATCCAAAGATTTTGATTCAGACATTATTTTGATTCAAACCCTGTGGTTTCAGTGCCTGCTGGAGGAGGGCACTGCTTGGGGACGTCATTTCAGCCAGAAACCAAGAGCAGACCTGGAAAATAACAACCCAAATATGTCATTTCTTAATAGAGGAGACCCAGCGTGTCCTTCTCCAGGTAATCTGACTTTCCTAGAAATGTCATTTTCTGGGCTGAGAACTGGGATTTTTCCCATTGCCCCCCTTTTTATTTTTATTTTATTTTTTATTTTTATTTTATTATTACTATTTCTCTTGTGGAATTTAAAAGAAAAATACTATTTTTATGTAGTTCATGAAATCCCTACCACAGGTTGCCACAAATTTTCTGTTCGTGTCTTCTTATTAAAAAAAAAAATTCTAAAATATGTATTTTATATTTAAAAATATACGTAAGTTATAATACAAAGCATATATTTACATTTCTATATATTTTTATATATTTATAGAAAAAGGTATAATGTATTTTAATATATTTTATATTTGCTATATAAAATTTACAGTGTATAATATATATTTATATTTATTGCAATATATTTTATATGAATCTATAGCATAACATATAACATCTTTATATTTACATGTAAGTAGATAATTATATCATATATAGATATTTTTATATATTTTATATTCAATATATACAATTTGTAATGTATAATATTCATATTTATCTGGAAATATATTTTATATAAATATATAACATAACATATATTTACATTTACATATAAATATATTTTTATATAAAAACAACACATTTTTATATATGTTATATTTAATATATAAAATTTATAAGATGTAATATATTTATATTTATCTGGAAATATATTTCATCTAAAAATATAATATAACATAAAACATGTTTATATTTACATATAAATATATATTTTATGTATTGTATATTTAATGCATAAAATTTATAACATATTTATGTCTATCTATGTGTTTATTTAAATGTATAATATATAATTTTTTATATATTACATAATTTATATTTAATACATAAATTTTATTATATTATTTAAAACACGGAAAAATTAATATATATTAAAAAATGTTAATAATTTCCTCCCATTTGTATAAATTCCAGATTTCCCAGCTGAGAAGGAGCACAGGGAACGTCCCCCCTCAGCTGGCTCTGGTGGAAAAGCTGCACTTGGAGGGGCTGAAGATTCTCCAGAACTCAGCTGAGCTTCTTTGCACCTGGGAGGTGGCCACCCCCCTGCAGCTGGAATAGCTGTGCTGCAGTGAAGATCATTTACCAGGGAATTCTCCACAGGGCATTTCAGGGCAGGACCCTCCTCTGAGCTGCATAAACTATGCTGTGATTATTTTCCCCTCGTGGGGGATTCACATTTCACGGAACATTTCCTTGCTCTTTGCAGAGTTTTTAAAGAATGATGTAGAAAAAAAAATGTTTATTTTTGTGAGTCTGCTGCTTCGTTTTCCACGAGACTGCTCTGCTTTTGAAACAAATGGATTTGAAGCAGGGAAGGTGTTCTGGGGAGTGACAGAATTTAAGGAAAAAATGCAACAAGTGGAAACTGTGAAGTGTTCCCAGCTCAGCTGCACTTCCAGGCTGTCCTTGGGACCTCATGGTGGACAAGAACGTTGTTCACAGAATTCCAGAAAAGTTGGGGTTGGGAGGGATCTTAAACATCATCCAGTCCCAACCCCCTGCCATGGGCAGGGACACCTTCCACCAGCCCAGCTTGCTCCAAGTTTATCCAACCTGGCTTGGACACTTCCAGGGATCCAGGGGCAGCCACAGCTTCTCTGGGAATTCTATCCCAGCCCCTCCCCACCCTCCCAGCCAGGAATTGTCCAGCCCGTGTGGATGTGGCCCTCGAGGATGTGGTTTAACTTAGAACGTGGCTGTGTCGGTTGATGGTTGGACTTGAGGAGCTTAAAGGTCTTTTCCAACCTTAACGACTCTGAAGCACTTCCTGGGCTGAGCTGGCTGTGGATTTGGGAATGCTGTGCCAGTCTCACTGCAGGGAATCCCTCCCAGCTTCCCTAAAGCTCCTTCCGTGCCCCTGACTTTGTCAAGCAGGGCTGAGACCCCACCCTGTGAGTTTGACCTCTTGCCTTCCTTTAATAAAACCTTTTTCATTCTCCACCACCAGCTGGGTTTCCAATTTTACAGTTTTACAACGCAAGTTAAAGAAGATAAGGATGGTTGGTTGGTTTATTTTTATTTTTCTTCCCCTGGAGATGGTTATTTTAAGAACAGCTCCTGCACAGCGTGCCCCGTGAGGTGAACACGGGTTCGACAGGAGTTTATTTGGAGTTTATTTGAACTCTGCACCCCACTTTTATACCAGGTGGTTTAAATATGAGCTCTGCTCCTGGAACTCCTACACAGCCTCCAGGGAGGGCAGGAAGAGGGGCTGGCAGTGCAGGAAAGCAGGCAGAGCACAGCAATTTTTATATATTTATATATATATTTATACCTAGTCAGCAAAAGCTTCACTTCTTTTTTGACTCCAACCTAAATGCTGTGCCAGACAGGCCATCCTAAGCTGAGGTGGCTGAGGAAGGAACAGCTCTGGGAATGCTCTCCAGCTGCCTGACAGGACACTAAATCAGGATTTCCAAGGGTGAAAATCCTCTCCCTCTTAGTGTTTTGTTTAGTCAGAGCCCCATGGAGCTGCTTTGCTGTAGTGATTGTCTCTCTGTGAGTCTGAGAAGGGATTTAGCTGGGATTTTAGCGTGGAAAATGTGCTTTGTTCCCCTCTTTGCATCAATTCCCTTTCAGATGGGATCTGCAAAGCTCAGCAGCAGGAGGGATAAATCCCATCTTCTGCCCAGTGGTGACACAAACCTGGTCCAGACCATGGCAGGGAATTAAAGGCTCTTCCAGCTTGTGCAGTGGGACCCAAAAAGGACATGGAAGGGTTGGAGAGTGTCCAGGGAAGGGAAGGGGCTGGAATAGCACAGCTTATTTTTAATTTTTAAAAAAAAATTTTTTTTTTTTTTAGTTTTTATTTTTTAAGAAGGGAGTTGATTTAGTGCAGTCTGGAGTCACTGAGAAATGATAAACACAATATCTTTCCCGTGTCAATTTATGTAAATCCAGCCTGAGTTTTCTTCGATCTCTCCAGAGAGCGGCTCCTAATTTACAGTTCTCTTCAGCTGCAATGTGTGGAGATCATCCATCATCGCTAAGTGCCTTTGGGCCTGTCTGTTTTGGGACAAGATAAGGGAGCATCAACTCTCATACTCCGACAATTAAAGCTTTTAAGTACACTCTGAAAACATTTCCGAGATGGCATTTGCAAAGGAAGAGCTTTTAAGATGATTTTGCTCGAGGTGTAGAGCCCCTCCCTGCCTGGACAGCAAAGAAAACCTCTTTAAAAGTGCCACCTTTGGGCAAAATTTGGAATGTTTGATGGACTCAGCACATCTGGGACTCGAGTGGTGGAGGTGATGAACTCCAGGGCAGAGGGAAATTATCCCAACAGAACTTTCTGGATTTCTTTACACAACAGCAGGAACAGGTTGGCCAGAGAAGCTGTGGCTACCCCTGGACCCCTGGAAGTGTCCCAGGCCAGGTTGGAGCCACCTGGGCTAGTGGAAAGTGTCCCTGCCCGTGGCAGGGGCTTGGAACAAGAATGATGTTTAAGATCCTTTCCAACCCAAACCATTCTGGGATTCTAGGAATGGAAAAGAAAAAAAATCACATTTCCAGCTCGTCCCCCTGGATGTTCCAGTGGATATATCTGTAATTCCAGAACTCAGAAAGCACTGCAATGAGGTGTGTTCAGGGGAGAAGCAAAGAGAATTAATTAATCCCAAGCTAATTGTGTGAAATTAATGCAGTCTCTGTGCTGTCCACTAGATGATGCAGCTGCACTGCAGAGAAATCAGGAATTGCTGTATATCCACATGCAATTATAACCCTATTTACTGGATTTATATTTTTAGCAGTAAAAAGTATTGTCTTCAATGATACACAACGATTGGATTCAGACAAACAGTTGAAAATTCCATTTTCTTTCTGCTGGTTTCAAGTGAAACTTGGAGCTTTCTGGTCCTTTTATCTCCTCTCAGTTTTATTGTATTTTAACTTGGTTGGAGCTGCTCCTCCCTCAGCTTGAACCATGACATTCCACCCTGAAACTGTCACTCAAGACAGAGTTAATAGTTCAGATTTTGTTACTTTGGGCTGGATGATCCTGAAGGTCTTGGTGATTCTGTGAATGGTTCAGTTACCGGGGTTGCAGTGGAGAATTCTCTGCTCGTGGGTTTTGTTTCTTCAGGATTAGGAGCCAGATGAATCTTTTGCACAGATGCCTCTCAATAATGCCCTTGGATGCAGCTGATTGACCTTGGATTGAAATGGTTCCTCTGGCTGGGGCGATTTGGGAGAAGAGAAGCTTTGGGGTGACCTGAGTGTGGCCTTGCAGGACCTGAGGGAGCTCCAAGAAAGGTGGAGAGAGACTATTTCCAAGGGCTGGAGGGACAGGACACAGGGGAATGGCTTCAAACTGAAGGAAGACAGGGTTAAGATGGGATATTGGGAAAGAATTCCCTGTGAAGGTGGGGAGGGTCTAGGATAGAATTCCCAGAGAATCCCCACCCTGTCCCCCAGCCCAGAGCACTGAGTGCCACGGCCAGGCCTGCCTTGGACACCTCCAGGGCTGGGCACTCCAAACCTCCCTGGGCAGCCCCTGCCAAGGCCTGACCACCCTTGCCAGCAACAAATTCCTCCTCCTGGCCAACCTGAGCCTCCCCTGGCACAGCTGGAGGCCGTTCCCTCTCCTCCTGTCCCTGTTCCCTGGGAGAAGAGGTCCCATCCCTGGAAGTGTCCAAGGCCAGGTTGGATGGGGTTTGGAACTACTGGAAGGTGTCCCTGCCCATGGCAGGGGGTGGAACGAGATCTTTAAGGTCCCTTCCAACCCACACCAGCCTGGAATTCTGTGATTTAATGAATGTGTGCCAGGCAATGGATCTGTCCCTGTCACCTCTACACTCTTGGCCGCCTTGTAAATAAAACCAAACATGCCCCCAAAAACCACCACATTCACACTCCGTGGGATTTGGTCAATGAGTTTGTTCCTTCCTGAGAATAATCAGCAAGCCTGAAGGAAGAGACCTTCCCTGAAGTCTGAAGGAGCACCCTGCTGAAGTTTTGAGCTGTAACATCCAAAGTAGGGGGGAGCCTCACATCACAGCCTTGATTAATTTTTATTAACACGTTTCTTGAAATCCTTGTGATAATGACCTGGTGGGTTAAACATCATTAATTTCAAAATGAAATGATTTTGCCAAATGTGCAGAGAACTGGGAAACAAATTGGGCTTTCCCACTGCTGCAGGATGAAAGTCAGATTTGAGTGGAAGTGGATAACAAGATGCAACTGTTGAGTGTCGGGCAGGGGGGAGATTATTGGGGTAATTCAGAAAATCCTCTTGACGGTTCAGGTGGTAAATGCAGAGCTAAATGGATCCCAACCCTCTGCTGAAAAGGAGGGAAGGTCGAAAGAGGACTAACAGTAAGTTATTTAAATCATCCTCTAAATAGCTCTTCCAGCCCTAGAGCTGGAGCTATTTTTACCTGTCCCAAAGCTCTCCAAGACTAATAAATACCGTGAAAATACATGAATCCCCTGCTTGTAACTGCAGATTGCAGGTGATAATGTAAATCATGCTCTGCTGATTCCACTCCAACATTGGGGAATCCTTCCCTCCATCAGTGCACTTCACCTCGAGGAGGATGATGTGGAACGGGGGTCCCATCCCCTCCTTTTTTTGTAGCCAATTCTACATCCGAGTTCTTAAGAGAACCTGAAAACCGAGTTCTTTTCCCCTGCTTGCCGAACAAACTTCACCCCCGGGGGATTTGTCAGCGGAGGAACCTCCAGAACTTCACAGCCACTTCAGAGGCAGAAAAAGGCGTTTGGTTTTTTTGTTTGTTTGTTTGTTTGTGGGGTTTTTTGGCTTTTTTTTGTTGTGTTTTGTGTGTGGGTGGGTTTTTTTGTGGGTTTTTTTGTGGGTTTTGGGGGTTTTTTTTGTGTTGGTTTTGTTTGTTTGGGGGTTTCCTTGGTTTTTTAGGGTTTTTTTTGTGTGTGGTTTTTTTGTGGGTTTTTTTGTGTGTGTTTTGGAGTTTTTGTGGGGGTTTTGTGTGTGTGTGTTTTATGTTTTGTTTTGTTTGGGTTTTTTTTGTTGGGGGGAGTTGTTGTGGGTTTTTTTTTTTTTCGGAGCTGGCCGAACGGAAAAAAATCTCGGAGCCAGGGGCGGAAAACAAAATACCACGTTTGATCTTTTTTGTGATTCTTTTTGTGATTCTCGCAGGGCGCGATGTGCGTCTTGCATTCCTCGGCCCCCAGGAATTCGCGCTGTTTGGGTTTCTTCGCTGCCTTTAAGTGGCAGGAAGTAACAGTTCACCCTCATTTCGCGGCATTGTCTGAGAATTAACCACAACACGATGGTAATGTGCCTTTTTTTTTTTATTATTTTTTTTTTTTTTAATGCTTCCCAGGGATTTGCTTTTATTAGCCATTTATTGTGGTTTTTGCTCGTTGGCTCGTTTCAGATCCTGCCGATGATAACCGTGGCTGTTGCGTTTCATCTGTGTTTGGGTTCAAACATGAATTTCTTCCCAAGTTTTCCTGCTAAATTATGGCCCCCTCAAAGATTCCCTTCTATGAAAAATCAGTTGTGCAAATGTGTCACTGCCCCTGTCACCTCTGCCCCTCAGCTTTTTGGTCATCAAGACAAAGGACAGATAATTTTGCATTAACACTGTGGTTCCTAACTGTGGAGCTGGCACAGAATCATGGAATCATGGAATGGTTTGGGTTGGAAAGGACCTGAAAGATCATCTAATTCCAACCCCCTGCCATGGGCAGGGACACCTTCCACCAGCCCAGGGTGCTCCAAGCCCCGTCCAGCCTGGCCTTGGACACTTCCAGGGATCCAGGGGCAGCCACAGCTTCTCTGGGAATTCCATCCCAGCCCCTCCCCACCCTCATAGGAAAGAATTCCTTCCCAATATCCCATCTAACCCTGCTCCCTTTCAGTTTGAAGCCATTCCCCCTTGTCCTGTCACTCCATGCCCTTGTCCAAAGTCCCTCTCTTGGAGCCCCTTCAGGTCCTGGAATGGGCTCTGAGGTCTCCC